TATAATTCTATGGTTTGTTCTTTGCAAGTCCATTTACATTTTCAAGTTTATTTCCTTTGTTTTGACTATTTGAAGTTGACTATTACACAACAACAGAAGTAATTTGTATTTCACAGGTTAGGTAACATAGCCAAGTGTATTTTCCACTGTAAATAAAGTATGTAAGCATGTATATATATTCATCATCTAAGAATTCAATAATCTTTTATCAGTTTCTAGTTTTACACATAATTGCACCATGGGACAACCGCAGTCCTTTACACTGACATAATATATATAGTACATGTCCTTGTCATACACCTGACATTGCAAGAATGTTTTAATCTAAATCCCCATAAGTACAATAGAAACTGCTTAGTTATTTAAAAACAAAGTCCATAGCTTGAAAACAGTTTTAAAAAATAGTTGCATCAAAATTGCAATTTTTTAAATTTTTGTATGGCAACATTCTTGCAATTTGGTGTATATATTGGTGACATTGTGTCTCATTGCAAAAACTGTGATATATCTAGATCTGTAACTGAAACAATAAATCTTAACACTCAAACCATAATGGTTAGCTTGGAAATGTAAAATTTTACCAACTGTAATTACAAAAATCAATTACAAATGTATTAAAAAATACTGTAAAACGTATATAAACTTTAACAACAGATATATATGCATCATGCACAAGACCACTTTTGCTGACAACTTGGCAACAGAAAATCCTTATACCAATTTTATTGTCATGCCATCAGTGAAAACTGAAGCCCTTGGACCCATATTTCAAAGCAATGTCCATGTTTTTTTTGAAAGAAGAATATTCTTCATGTTTTGTCGGAAGTATGATAGATTTAAAGCAGGTTTCTGACAATGGAAGGTTGTTTGCTCCACCATCAAACTTGACCAACAGCTGTCCATTTGAAACTTGCAAGCCACCTGCAGTCCAGAAACATACCAGGTCTACTAGCTTAGCGCCATCTAATAAATAAGTAAATAAAGAATTTAACCACTGTCTAGTGTTATRCTCTGTTGTTATGATTAAGCACTTCCTACCTTCTGAATTTGTTTCAATGTCATCAATGTAATCATTGAACCATAATGCAGCCCTTTTATTACACTCATTTAAATCTTTCTCCTCATTAGTAATTACTGCTTTAATGTCAGAACCATAAATAACTCTTTCGCATTCTGAAGGGAATATCAGGGTAGCCAAAGTAGGGAATCTTGTTAAGAAACGGKGCAGTGAAACCTCATTCATTCCTGTACAAATATCAATGAACAACAACTTGTAAATGTATAAACTGTATTGAATTTATTATATAACATGTTAAAATTACATTTGTGCTGGGTAAGATCAATAGACCTTTTTAGTACCACGTGGAGGAATAGACACTGGAGGTATTAGAGAATTTGAATAAATAATATGGATGTTAAATGTAAAAAGTAAAGGTTGAAGTTCAACAAAAATGTGTAGTTGAATGCAAATATATGTTATAATATAATATAAATCTATGAATTGTTGAATTTTGCAACAAATGGCCAACCATACTGCTTAGAAGCATTTATCAAGGGAAAAAAGATGGATATGCAAGGCTTTCTTATTTAAGATAATGTATCTCATACCTTCAGTGCCCATTCTCCCATGTGGTATGAAAAAGGTCTATTGACAGCCAAAAAAAGTTTCATGGGATACAATTATTTGTTTCRCAGGAGTATAAAAAGACTTCTCAGTTGATAATATGAACGATACACTCACATCTTTGTGTACCCCAGACTGTGTGTTTATGATTTATAAGTTACTACCCTACACTCGACTTGCCTTTTATGATGTCGTCTAGCTCAAGGCGTCTCTTGTCTATGACATTGTAGGTCATCAGACCATCCAGTAGGAACTTCCTCTTCTGGTTTAATTCATCTGGGTCTAAACCAGCCTCAAACAAGTAAGGCTGAATGGCAAGTCTTTGCTCTGGACTTACATTCTGGTCCAAAGGCAGTTCATCAAGCTTGAATAGATGGGAAAATAGACATGTAGCATACAAATACAATGTGCTTAGGTATTTTAAGAATTTAAGAAAAAATTTTCAAGGTGTAGCCACGTGTTACCATTTTTCATGGCATTTTGCCTGCAAAGTGATTGCCCAACTGTGCTAATATGACAATTGACTGAAATAATTATCATCTACATGTGTATGTCAGAGATATCCTAGTCCGTTTAAAGTAAGGGACTTGTCAGCAATTTGCAGGGGTTGGAAACAGGGGGAGAGTCATCAAGTTTTAAGACCCAAAAAGGGGAGGGTCACTAAATTTAATAGACCACCAAAAAGGAAGGTCACGAAAAATTCCTTGATTAGAAAAATCAATCCTTTGCTTAATTGTGAGGGTCACTGAAATGCACCTAAAGCTTACACAGTACTTTGTAAATAGGTTTTTGCACAGAATTCATTAATATACAAAAACATCCACAAGTGACTTTTTGTCCTTTTTTAATTTGAGAATTGCCATTCTAGTTTCAATATATGGTTTTGTTTTCCACCTGCAAATTTCTGACAAGGCCCTAATAGCATTTTTAATGGTTGAAACTGGATTGTCAAAATTACACATGCTGACACTTACTTCTGATATTAGTTGTCTCAATTCAATGTCTGGTATGTCTTCAATAGCTAGTGTCAAAGACAGCTGTTTGTCATTAGCTTCTGTTGAGAGATATTGCTTCACCACAGGAGATAACCCATATACAAATGGCCCACCATGCAGGACAGAGTGACTTATCATCCTTCCAACAGCCTTAAAAGCCCCAATAGCACGAAGAGACTGATCATGTATTGGGAGGCGATGATCAGTTTCCCCCTCTAGGAACATAAGTGGTTTTGATGATGATGACGATATTCCTTCTTCAATGATCTTAATGACATTGCTGAAGAACTCCCTCACGGGTCCACAGCCAACGCCATCTTCCTCTTCAAAGCATACTCTGGGAGCTCTATGCAGGTTTGTCTGTGGATTTTTGTATATTCCCATTATTTCTCTCTTCATCTCAGTTATGCCATCTAACCTGGATAGGAATATACGCTCTTTTGGTGTAGCAATGACGGTTTGCTTTTGAAAAAGATGAAGAGCTTTCTCAGGAGATGTAGTGCATTCCAAAGCCGGTGTTAATAAATCAGCATCACTAGCAGGGTCATCCAAATCATCAATAGTAATGGGCTCTACRCCTGGTGGTCAGGAAAAAAAGTAAATTGTCCATTTTACAAAACATAATCACTTGAGTGTTACCATGGGCAACGTAAACTGTTCCATAACTGAAAGAACAGTAATTTTCAAAACTTACCTAACAGYTGCTGAGCAGCTTCATGAATGTTTCCATTTGAAGAGTTCAGTGCTCTTCGTATCTCTATAGTGGATGCATTAGGACAAATTTCAGATAAGACATTGACATTCTGTATATCATTCTCATTAAATGTAGATGCACAGGTTTCTGTGGCAGGTGCAGATGGAGAGTTTGTAGAAGATGTGGTACTTGTGCTGGGTTTACTATAATGATATGATACTTATTTACTTATTTACGGAGAGTTTGTAGAAGATGTGGTACTTGTGCTGGGTTTACTATAATGATATGATAAAGAAGAATATTTTAGGTACTAGTAAGTATATGTATGTCCATCGTCATATTCCTATGTTGTGGTTACAACTAGTAACTACAACAGAGGAATAWGATGCACATACATAATTTGTATGATTTATGAGTTTTATTATTGTTCAAGCTGACTGAAACCCATGCTGGTCCAATCTTGACTTCAAAAGGTCTAAGGTTTTTTTAACAAGGTCTAGGTTTTAGTTGCAGTTGGGGTCCTTCTYCCAAACTGTTTGATAATAAGCAAAATAATACATATGCAATAGGTACCTTGATAAAGACCCTGCCATTGCACTTGTACTTGGAGAATTACTGTAGTTATCAATTGCACAAATAAGTATTGTTAATTGTCAATGAACCTAGCACTAGCATGGACTGAGAGAGAGGGTGAGATTGTGAACAAGATCTGTTTGTGGGATGGTAAAGGGGGAAAGTGTGCCCAGAAAAAAATTKTTATTAAAAATGAAAAAAGYACCTTACAACTATGTCTGAGTCAAACATCTCCATGGTTGTTTGTTTTTCCTGTATGGGCTACAAGAAAATATTTACAATAAGTACAGCTGAAAAATTAGCCTTTGCTCTACTAACTAATCAAATAGAAATAGGCCAGAATGCAGCTGAATTTGGAGGGCAACATGAAAGAATCTCAACCTCCAGATAACCACAAACCTATGTGTTGTCCTCAAAATTCAGCCTAATTCTGATGCTGTAAAGGGCCTATTGTTTTGTGATTAATGTTTTTTTCCTTTTTTTGCTTTGCATAAATTAAATAATCACAAACAGCTAATAAGTAGTGTCCAGGTCTATTGGAATAACTTTCTTATGTTGCTGTTATACACTGATCAGGTGTCACTGTTAAAAAAGTAGTATCTAAGAGTTATCTCCTAAGAGTACCTACCTTGGCAACTTGCTGGTGTGATTCTTTATGAGTATGTATCTCTGTCATGGGAATGTGATCTCCACATGTAAAGCATTCAATCAGTGGAATGTCGTTTTGAATCTGAAACGGGAAAAAACATGGTACAAAGTAAACATTTGCATTCTAGTAAGTCGAGTGRATAAACATAAATTTAAACTCCTACGCCTATGGAATAGATTTTTAATTATGGTAAAAATTTCATGTTCATACTGTAATCACATTGAGCATATATATGAAAAAGAAAATAAGTAAAATTTAATTCTATAAGAAGGTAATATTTTTTCAACCAAATCCCGTCCCGTCCAGTTTTCATATTCTACAATTTATACAATACAGTTTTTCATATTCTTTTTCAATTTCAAATTATTAGTTTTTGCAGAAACAGTGTACAGTAACAACTTACCTTCTCTGTATCTAGTTTTGCTGCATCATCCAAGGCAATATCTTGCTGGACTGGTCTAATGTAAATTTTTGCCTGCCCACAGAGCTCCTTAAGGTGTTCTGGGGTGTGGGGTGGCAAGATTTGGTGGAAGCCGCTATCCTCTCCACCACCCCTCTGGTAAAGTAGGAGGTCAAATCCTCCRACTGACTTTAATTTGGGATACTTGTCCATGATCCCTCCATAAACTGATGTGCCATCTTGGGGAAAGGAGATGCTTCCATCTCCCAACCCAGCATTGGACAAAACTGTCCTTTGCTTCACAGTTGTTGGTGGATGGTCTGCATCTTTGGATGCTAGGCAAACAAATTTGAGCATGCATGATTTTACATGCTTCCCCTTAGATGACTTGGTAGAGGAGTTCGGCCGTCTGTCAAATCCATGCCCAAAGAGCCGCCTTTGTTCAGCTGCAGCTGACAGTTGCCTGGCCTGCAGTGTTGCTTGAGACACACTATAGGTTGAGGCTTGTTCTTTAGACTGTGCAGCAGACTGAAGTGTTTGAGGCTGAGGAGATTGTGCGCCTAATTGAGCTGCAGCTATAAAACACATTAGAAAACTCATTAATATTCATTAGTCCCAAACAAAAAATATAGACTATGGGAAATAGTTTTCTAAGTTATAATATTTAAAAACCTCACTTTTTATTGAGCATGAAAAACCTATGGCTAGGCCTCGGACTCAAATGTTTTATCCAACTTAGGGACTGGTAATTATTTATAAAGAGGGGGCTGCTGCAAATAGGGG